AGAGAGAGAGAGAGAGAGAGAGAGAGAGAGAGAGAGAGAGAGAGAGAGAGAGGCTGGTGGTTACCCACCTGACAACTTTACGAGCTGAGGCCGTGCTCCTCCCGCTGCTTCTTCGGCTCCTTCACGATGACTGTTGTGCCCTGGGTATGGCTGGACGACGACGCCTTCGACTGCTGCTGCTGCACAGGAGACGTGGAGGCAACCATGCGACGGGCAACGCACGGCGGGCGCGAAGGGCACAAAGCAGGACTACCGGGGTTCATCCAGGCAGCGAGGGGCAGCATTCCGAATTCAAAACTTCAAAAACAAACTAACTTCAGCTGCCCCCCCCATTTTTTTTCGGAGGCCCCGCGCGGCCTCAAATTGTTGTTGTTTTTTTTTGTGTGGGTGGTTCGCGCCGCGACATCCCACCTGGGCCTAGAACACCCCTCGGCAGCTTTTTTTTTTTTTCGTCGACCCCTTATTTTCGGGGTGCACCACACCCCGTGTGCGCGCGTCGTGCGCGGTGTGCAGTGTGGCGCATGTGCGAGTTTCAGCGCATGTCGATGTGCCGCAAGTATGGTTTCTATATCATCAGAATCAGCATGAATATAGTCCACAGAACATTGATGATTATCTAGCCCACTCTAGCATGCACAGTGGCTTTGCACATGCATATGTGCCTGTACCTTTGCCATAGTTACAGCATTCTGTGTCTCGCATCACAAGCTGAATCTCAAAATGAACAAGCGAGGACCAACTCGGTCAAACTCATGCCACTGGGAAGAAGTGCGCAGGCAAGGTGTGGGGGCAAAGCAGCCCGGGGAATTGCCACCTGAAGGGCTACTATGCCATTGCAGGGCCACTACCATGATCTCAAACATATGCTAGACCACCCTAACTTCAGGCACTGATGATCCATCATTGTGTCAGACAAAGCCGATGTTATCGAGAAATACTCCAAAGATGGCCCAGTGAGTCTGAACTATGAGTCGATTTTGCAGCAAAAGAAAGAAGGGCTTCCTGTGAGCTGTGCTGATCCCAATGTACTCCCTGATCTTCTGCTGAAGAGAACAGCAACAGTTTCCTCAGTTTCCGCAACTCCTTTTAGAGAGTGTGAGTGCATTGGGGTTGAAGACAACCAGGGTTTTCAAACATTACCCTCAAAAACAGATCACCCACAAAAACCACGCGCAACAAGTGAGTTGCCACTGGGCAGGTAGGCATCTTTCAATAATGGCATTGACAAAGGGCAGAAAGGCGGGTGTTATGTTGGAAGATTCGACACACCTGAACGACCCAATTTCAGACTCATCACCAATTGACCGCCTGTTTGCTGTTCCAAAGGACTTTAGAACATGCTCTGGACTGATGGAAGAAAAAGCATAAGACATACAAGCATGATTCATCACCACAGATCACCATGAGTTAACTCAATGATGTAAGGCATTGCCACAACAGAGGCATGACGGTCATCTACTTGTATTGCCATCACTAAGTCCATTAGATGCAAGAGGGGTTTGGAGCAAATCCCACCGGGTTATGATTGGCTGGACAACTAGAATCGTAGCACACACAAAAGGGCAGTTTCACTCTGGTCGGGTATATACTAATAAGGCAGAAAGCATGTAGTCCCGCAGGCTTGATAAGTGCATGTCCTTTCAACAGATGATCCCCTCCTTGGCATGTGTATTCTGAGGGTATAGCCCACACAGCATCACCTAAATGAAACAAAATCAGGGTTGCATGGCAGCCGACGGCCGGTGTGCACCGCCTAAATATCCACGGCTGTTGCGCCCACCGACCAGCGGATCGCTGACCTGTTGTCAGTGGTCCACTGGCTCATCTTCCAAAAGAACCGAAGGCAGAGCCATCCTGCACATGCCCTGAACACCCAGAAACAGTTGTAGAAAGGATGTTTATGGGTGTTTGGGTTTTGTCCGGGCAGAGAGAGGGGGGGAAGCATGTTACTGGAAAACTAATTAAGGAGAGTAGCTTCAGACAGGGGATGTCTCTTGTCAATCAGGCTTCATGAACTGGTAGGGGATTATGCCTGCCCTATTCACCATTCAGAACTTTATGTCCTCCAGCACATCCATAAAAATTGGAATGATACAGACTATTAGAATCATAGTTGCGGCGCACCTCGGTGCGCGGGTTTGCGCACGAATTGCGCACCGCGCGCACCGCACCGCACAGCGCACCGAAGCGCGGCGCACTGGATAAATTAGGTCCAAAAAAAAAAAAAAAAAAGCAGGGGTTTTGTCATTCCTTAGGGCCCCCAACTCGGAAAAAATGTTAAACTCACCGCGCGAGCTCGGAAACCGGCCGCGCCCCCAGCTCGAATTTTTTTTGGGGCAAGGGCTGCCAAATTTCGATTTCAGCGGGCCCTGCCCCCAAAAGTTTCAAAACGGCAAAGCATAAAATAGGGCTCATTCCAATTTTTTTTTGGCGGGGAATGTAAACTGACCTTCCCCCTCCCTTCTGCAAATCCCACACAGTGATGGGTTAGATTCGCAAGCAGGGGGTAGGCGCCTAATAACGACCTGCCCCGCGAAGCCTCGCAGAAGGCTCAGGTTGCATATTCCACGGGCAGCCGACCACCAATATATGCCGAAGATTGGCGTTCAGGTCTGCGTGTCTGTAGTTACGGGTTAGGATGAACATGCCCGTAGCTCTCTCGTTTTTTTTTTTGTTTTTGTTTTCTTACGAATACGTACAGTGGGGCCGCTCCACTACTCACCACATGCACAAAAGAAATAGCATATTGCGGTGTATGGTTCCATGTTTTAGCAGAAGATTCATTCTAATCTTATACATTTGGTGAGTGGTGGAGAGAGGATGAAGATGCCCGTAGCTCTCTCGTTTTTTTTGTTTTTGTTTTGTTACAAATACGTACAGTGGGGCCTGCGCCACTACTCACCACAT